GCAGAGAAATGTGGCTGTTTTCACATTCTGCCTTCATGCAGCAGAGAATGCTAATAGAGGAGAGGAGCACAGACAGGGCATGGAGGGCATAGTCTGAGCAGACAGCGCCACGGTGCCAGGTAAACAATCCCGGAGAGAGGCGTGTCTTGGCAATCAGAGGCAGGTATCCTGCGGCAGGTCCTGGAGGAGCCCATCTCTAGAAATCAACAAAGGCCGTATTCAAAGGGAAATCTGAGGAATTACACCAGCAGAGATGGAGAAGAATCTGCAGGTGGTAACGGGGCCCCAGCACAAGCCACCGCCTTTCCAGCATAGGCTGCCTGTGGCAAAAACGGCATAGAGGCCACAGTGAGAACTCGCAGAACCTGAGAGCAGAGGTGTCCTGGCAGCGACGGCTCCCTTAGTCATGGAAGGAACTGGAAAATTTCCCCGGCTCCCCATGGATCTTTGGCAGAGGCAGTTGTAGTTAGTCACATGGGATCTGAGATCAGACTGCTTGGTGTGAATCCTGGCTTCACCGCTTGCCAGCTGTGTGACCTTCAGCAAGTTACCTAACCTCCCTGAGTAGCTCAGCTTCCTCATTTATGAAATGGGCTGAAAAGCTGTACCGACATCACAGGATTATTGGGAGGATAAAATAAATAAATTTGTTTGGGGGCAGTTAGTAAGAGCTCAGTAAGCTGTAGCTGTGATTACGATTTCAGGGTTTGCTCAGATGATCAGACAAGACAGGAGTCATGTCTGGCATACAGTAAATACTGGATAAAGATTCACTGTTATTTTATACTTGCATATATTTGACATTCACGAGCTCCGTAGGCATTAAATGGTTGGATTAACCCAACCAGTATGGTTGTAAATACATATCTGGTCCGGGTAGATCCTACCTGACCTGAGGCTGCTAAGATTCTAGCAACAGAGCTGATAACTGGGAAAGTGCCACTTCTCCACCCCTCCACCCACCACACAGAAGGCTGCTCCAAAAACAGATTTTTGTGTGGTGCCTACAATGTCATCCACTGATATCAGATCAGTTTCTTTTTCTGAAGACATTGGCAGTAAAAGGACACCAACCACAAAGCAGGATTCAGACGCTCTTCCGAGCCATCACATGCATTAAAGGGTATCATGGTATGTATATGGCACCAGATGCTCTCCCATGAACCTTTTCCAAAATTCTCCCAGAGAAAGCACTGACCTGCTACTTTATTGCAGAGAGCTACAGAGGCGTGGGGCGGGGCGGGGGGGGGGGGAAGGGGGGGAGACCCTTAATGATACAAACAAAAGGCACTTCATATTAAAAGATCATAGCCGATTCTAATAATGGGCAAAAGCTGAGAAAAGTGAGATTCATGAAAAGCAGCAGGAAATTATACTGACCATCTTTGCACCACTCAATTGAGATTCAGAATGAGGTTCACCCGAAGGCCACCTTCTGACTGATAATTTACATGGTAAGACTTAAGTAATAAAGCAGCCATAGAGGGGAAACTCACTTAAAAAAAATTGCTTCCTCAGAGGCTGCCTGCCTGGCGGGTGGAGAGCGAAGCAAAGGCATCTGCAGAGAGAGCAGAGAATGAGGGGTGTGTGTGGAGGCGGTCAGGAAAGAGAATGAGGTTAGGACGGCTTCGCCTCCATCCAAGAGGTTTTGAAGTTATCCAGCAAGAAAAGAAGACCTGGAATCCTGAGGTCCATGATAAATAAAGCAATATGCAACATTGTCACAAATAAGACTGCCAGCACAAAGTATGCTGTTTCTGGCCAGCTCTTCAAACCTACTGAATCATCCGCCCAGAGGCAAAGCATTTGTGATACTAAATAACCCAGTCTTAAAATGTCCAGTGTGAAATTTATTTATTTTTTCTTAAAAGAAGTAGCTTTGAATTCTCAGGCTGGGTTTGTGCGCCCGTGCAGTCTGGCCATTTTGAGAGACATGACCAGTCAAGGCAATGGAACCAAATCAAGTAAGAAGTCTCCTCGGTGTGACAGCGTGTTGAATTTCAGCCACACTCCCCTCTCAGGATCCTCACCCGAGTAGAGACAACAGCGTGGCTGACCAGCCAACCAGGCAGCCGGTCAGGTGGTTTGTTATTCGGTCAGGCTATCTACAATGCTCTCTGGAAGATTCTACAGGGTACAGTCTGGAACCAGTGGAAACCTGATTTAAAGTGGTTATCAGACGACCAGCCTAGAGCCACTCAGCCCCCAACACAGAGAACTTGAGGGCTGTGCATCTTTCATTTGACAGACTATTAGCCGCTTTGATCCCTCCTGGCAGGAAGAGTAAAAGTGAAATTCGTGCAAATCTTCCTTTTGATGTAATGAAGCATTCCATAAACTGAAAATCTTAGGACCCAATTATTAAGGCCAAATTGCTATTTTACTTACTAAGATAAAAAGCCATGGTCTCAGCCATTTGCTTTTGGTAATTTCCCTTATCTCATGGATTCCTCACAGTAAGTGCATGAGGAAAGTGTTCGTTCTGGTCATGGATCTATCTGTTAGTTGCAGGTAACACAGGCTCAATTCAGCTCATAAAAACAGGGAGGAGTGAGGTTGCAGATTATTGCAAGGTTGAGGGACAGTCTCACTGGATCTAAGAAGAACAGAACAATCAGGCTTCAGAACAGACGAGACAAAACTGAGGTAGTTGGGCCACCTGTCACTCTCTACTCCCACCCCTCCCTTGGGTCACTGTCCACCATGGTCTGAACATTTAGAGTATGACTGGGTTACAAAGATGACCCATCATCAGGAACTAAAGTGAGATGCCCATTGCCAGAAAAAGGATTCGAGCAAAGCCTAACTCCCAAACAATTCTAGTATAGCGTCACTAATTCCGTTCACCACATCAGGAAACTGAGGCACAGGAAGGCCAGATCCTAGGTTAGCAAGTGGCTCCAGGCCTTCTGAGAGAACGGGTATTGTGTTCAGACAGATCTATGTTGAAGCCTAGATCTAGCTTACTTGCTGGTGGATTCTGGGCAGGCTTATTCTCTTTGCGCTTCCATTTCTTCGCCATCAAAATGGGCTCGTGCCAGAGGTTTGTTTTGAGGGTTAAGTTAGACGTGATGTTGTATTCAGTGCCCGGAATACAGCAGCATGCAGAAAACAGTAGCCCTTCTCTCACCTGGGAAGCCACGTCCTAAGCTACATCACGGTTTACCATGGAGTATAACCCGCCTTTTCGCTATTCCTCCTCTAGTCCATGTGCTGCCACCGCCCAAGACAGCCGGCTCCTTACACCATGTCTCCTCTCTCCCGCACCCCGCCCTGGGCTGCGGAGCATGTCGGCAGCCTCTCCAAATTCCGGTGGAATTAAACTGGCTGAATCCGTTCCCGTGTCCCTCTCTTCCCTACAAATCCGTTAAGGACCACACACCATCTTTACATTCCATTGTGTCTTTCTCGGGCTATCAGCTTCTCTGAGGGTGCCAATGTGGCTTTTTTTTTTTTTTTCTCTTTTCCCTTCTGTCTCTCTTTCATGTAGCTCCACCTGGAGGTCAGTAGCTTCGGCCTGTCATGAAGACAGATTTATCTCAGAAGAAAAATGGCCCTCAGGCGAGGAGGGCTGTTCAACTTCAGAGGACTCCAGATGAAGAGAAGGAATCCTGCCTTCTACTTCTTGGGTATGTTCCCATGGGATTTCTTTGTTGGGGGTGGGGGAGGGCGGCGAGCGAGGATGACTCACAATCATCTCACAAACTTCTCCCAGTTATATGCAAAGTCTGATGTCAGTGAGGAGCTCAAGTATCTCCTGGACAAGGTGGTAACTTTGAACAGAGATATCCCTCCCATAAGGATGCATAAAAGATAGAAACAGGACTGAGCAGGGAACTTGAATTTGACACTTACTATCTCGTGCCTGCACTTTACATACAGTACTTCATTTCCTCAGCAACCTTGCAAGGTTGGGAATATTATTCCAGTTTTACAGATAAGGAACACTGAATAACAACCTTAGGCTATGCAATTAGGAAGGGATATGCTGAAACTCAGCAAGGGGGCTGCTGCAGAGAAGATACCAGGTCAGTCTTGCTTCCAAAAACTGTTCATGTCCTTCTTTGATGTTTTAGGCAACTCAGCTTGCCCACCACTAACAGACAGAAGACCAGTTCCTAAGGGGACTGGCTGAGCAGAGCAGAAAGAAGGAATGGGGTTGTTTGGGAACAGAGCCACTAGTTGACCATCAGTGAAAAAGAAAGATTTGCACTACTAGTTTGGAGCCGTTGAAAGACCATTCTAATAATCACAAAATCATCAGCACATGGGCATTTGAGCCAGACTGAACTGAGCTCTATCCTTTATTATTATATATCCTTGGGTAGGTTACTTAACCTTGCTAAGTCTCAAGTTTCCTCACTTGTTAAAAAGAAGAACAATAGTAGTACCTACTGCATACAACTTAGTGTAAAGAGTAAATGCAAAGGCTTGCATAAGGTGTTCCTTGCTTAGGAAGAGACCTGTATATAGCAAGTACTCAAAAAAAAAAAAAAATGTTAGCCATTATCAATGGTGGACAATTTTAAATAAATGGGGATTTCTTTGTCACAGAAATCGCTACCAGGATGATAAATAAGATGTCCTTCCTTAACGAAGAGATGTGATTCATTTACAAATAGCACACATTTGCATCTAGACAATAATGTGGTAATATTAAATGCAGTTTGTTCTTCTAAGAAGTTTGAAGGTACTAGTCCTCATTGATCCTGAACCTCACCCCCTTGTTTACATTGTTAAATTGCTCAGCAACCTCTCTTCTAGTCTTAAGTTGAGATAAAATAGTGCAATCAAGGAAAGGACAGGGGTGCCTGGCTGGTTTAGTTGGAAGAACATGTGACTCTGGATCTTGGGGTCATGAGTTTGAGCCCCATGTTGGGTGTAGAGACTACTTAAATAAATTAGAAAAAAATTTTTAAGAAAAGAATAAAGTGCTACAAATCTTAAATATACTACGACCATATTAGAGAATAAACATAAAAATCACATTTATTTTAAAGTACCTTCTCATGATTTTGACTTTTTGTAATTTCTTCCTAGCCCGTGTGTGCAGTGAGGGCTGACCACAGTAGCTGGGTGTGTTGGTGGAAAGGCGAGGAGCATCTTGGGAAGGGACAGGTCTCTGTGCTCTTGGTTCCAGAGTTTCATCTCATCAATAATTCTTTACTTTCTCTTCCTTGCCTTTCAATTCTTGCCTAGCTCAACAATGAGAGAGAAAACAGAGGTGACGGTGATAAACTCTGCCTATATAGAAAAAGACAGAAATATTTACACTTTATGTTTTTAAAGGACACGAACCCAGTCTTTGTCTCAGTTACTGTATTGAGCAGAGAAATTCATGTGCCTATGACACCCTGAAATTCCATCAGTATCAATATCCCCGTGCCAAGGGTTATATCTCAACTTTTTCCTAGTGGCCTTTCTTATTCTTCACATTACCACACTGTATGCCTCCTCTGTAACCTTTCCTAAAGAAGCTCTTATCATTGGTACTTCATTCTAAATCCTATTTTCAAACAAGGTAGAAAATAAAAAAGAAAGAAGCATGTATTCAATTGTATGATTGACTTATAAGACCTCAGCTAGGTTTTCCAACATGAATTTTTAAGGGCTGATCATTTGAACTGCTACAGCCAAGACTCCAGAATTGCTCTCCATTTCAGGTGGAGTCCGTTTCATGCCTGTATTTCTGCCTGTCTCTTTCTCTCTTCTCTACTCTTGAATACCGGACTTGGGATCAGGAGACCCACCACCTTCAGACTTACCTCTCAGATCTAGTTTCTAGCCTCATTAGTTTTGGGCCTTGAATAAATCACTTTACCACTCTGAGCATCTATTTTTCTATATGTCCAATAAGGTCACTGTACTATGTAAATGCCAAAGTCTTCTTACCTGCAAAATTTCTAACCCTTCATTCATCTGAGAAGGTCTTTTCACTTTTTCCCTCTAGAAATAAGGGTTTTTGATGAATGGAAAGGTCGTAGTCAGCTGTCAGCAACACTGTACCAAGAAGGAGAAAATAGGTAGGTTGCAGACATCATTAAAGATACTGAAGAGTGATAGACGCAAAGAAATTAGATTGAAATTCCTAAGTGAGTTTATAATCACCAGCTGTTGGCTTCCCAAGAAGCATTTGCTCATTGTAGGTATAGGCTGGATTTGGGCCAAGCAGGACTCTACTGGGAAAACAGGAAAACAGCAGAAATTCTGGTGAATGTGTAGGACTGAAGTGATGGATTAGAAAACAGAGAAGTGCCAAATACAAGACTCCTTCCCATAAGGTCTGGGATAGTGGGGAAGGCTCATGTGGGCTAAACCAGAAGGTAAGAATAATTTTTTTTTTTAATAATCTACAGTGCCTAAGAGACAAAACCCCTCTAGAAATAGGGGTTTTTGATGAATGCATAACAGTTCTTCCCTTTAAACCATTTGCCAGATTTTGAGCCTTTGTGAAATGGAAGTCCATAATGCAGGCTCAAAATCTCTGAAGAGCAGTACTGTTAGAGTTAAGGATACAAAGAGCTTCTAGGCCTCCTGTTAAAAGCCCAAAGTTCCCCTTTGCTGAGAATAGGCAGAGCCCAGAGGGCAACCAGTTTATCTACTAAAATTTACTCAAAGTTGAAACCCAACCTCACACCCAGTTCAATCCCTACTGTCTGCCTACCAGAGGAAGGGAGGAGCCCTTGATGGAAGAAGATTTCATCTGAGCATTCTGGGATTTTTTGTTTGTTTGTTTGTTTTCTGGATTGTTTTTCCCAATTTCTATAATACAATTCAAAATTACTAACATGAGAAGTGAATGGAAAATGTGATTGATAATCACAGGGAAAAAAATCAAATAATAGCATACCCACAGATAATTCAAATGTGGTAACTAGCAGAAAAGGGTTTTAAAATAATTATTATATTAAAAATAGAGGAGAAATGAATTAAAAGATTAAGAATTTCAACAGAGAATTGAAATTGTTAAAAAATATCAAATGGGTATTCTGTAATTGAGAAAATACAATGATATATTATCTAAATTGAACAATTAATTGGATAAGTTTAAAAGTACATAGACCACAGAATTTTTAATTCAAAGACAAGATCACTTTTTAAAAACAACAACCCAAGCTAAAACACAAAAGTGGGGGAAGAGAGTAAAAAGAACAGAATAAAATATGAGACATGTGATACACAGTAAAAAATAAATAAATAAATAAATAAATAATCCAACATATGTATAATTGAAGTTCCAGAAGGAGAGAAGAAGGGGACTGAAAAGAGCAATTGTTATAGAGATAACAACTGAGAATTTTCCAATGATATACACTCCACTCACAAATGCAAGGAAAGGGAACAGGGAACACTAAGAAGAATAAAAGCAATGAAGACCACATTTAGGGACATCATGTTCAAAGTTCTGAGAAGTAAAGACTAAGAAAAAAATCTGAAAAGAACCAAAGGAAAAAGAAACACATTCCATTCAATGTCACAAAAAGACTAATGGCTGACTTTTCGATAAAAACTATGGAAGCCAGAAGATAATGCCTTAACATCTTTAGACCTGAAAGAAAAATGTAACACCGAATAAAATTATATCAAGTGAAAATGTACTTCAAAAGTTAAGCCAAGGTAAAGATGTTTTCCAACAAAGAAACTTTGACAGAGTTTGGTTCCAGAAGCACTATAAGATTTACTAAAGGGAGACTTTCAGGCCAAAGGAAAATAATTCTGGATGGAAATAGTAAACTTTGGGAAGAAATAAGGAGTGCTATAAACAATAAATATGAGTAGAGGATTTTTAAAATATTAACTAAAAAGTTAATATAAACAAAAATAAGGAAAGATTTGTGAGTATATAATGTAGGAGTCAAATGTTAGATCGTATCACAAAGAACCAAATGATCTAAATGACGTTAAGCTATTGTAAGTTTCTAGAATTACTTGTGAAGTAGAAAAAAATGCTAACCTATATATGCAAAGTTAGGAAGGCACAATAATTTTCTAGGAAAAAACTATAAGAAAATCAAGAATGTATAATAAGAAACTACGAAAAGAGAAAAATGGAAAGTAAATACTTCAAAAGAAGGTTAAAAAAAGGAGGCAGAAAAGAACAAAGAATACATGCGAAAAATAGAAAAATAGCAAGTAGAAATAATTAAATAAACTATGGCAGTAATTTTATACATACATAGACTAAGCACTCCAATCAAAAAGGAAAGATAAAATGGATTTTTTTAAAAAACACAAGACTCAATTATAGGCTGTTTGTAATAAATATATTTTAAAGTTTAATATATTTATCTGGGAGGAGTAAGGCAAGGGCTTTGAAGATGAAGTTCCCTGGGTTTGAATTCTAGCATCTAATTATAAACCGTTTGAACATAGGTAAGTTGCATAACTTCTCTGAGCCTCAGTTCCCTTATATATAATAAAAGAGCAACGAGACTTATCTGAAAGGGTTTTTGTGGGAACAAAATAAAATTAATGGGAAAAACATTAACAGCCTAGACTAGAAAACTCTCAGTTAATAATAGGCATTATTGTTACTCTCATTACCACCACCCATGATCCCAGTCTCTCTTAGGGAGGGACTCTAATATATTATGGTGAATGGCTTGGGTGCTGGAATCATACTCCCTGGCTTTCCATTTCAGCACTGTCATTTATTAGCCACGTGACCTTGAGTAAGTATTTAAACTCCTACACCTTGGTTTTCTCACCTATAAAATGGGTACCTCTCAGAATTGTGAAGAGAAAAATAAGATAATCTGTTAAGATGCTTCACACATTGTCTGGAACATGAGTGCTCTCTACACAGCAGCTGGACTGACTATTGACACACAAATCAGATAATGTCAATCACTTGCTCAATAGCTTTTAGGGTCTTCCCACTGCACACAGAGTAAAGCCAAAAGCTGTATAATCACCTCCCAGGTCCATGAAGATCCATTACCTCTTGTGAACTCACCTACTAGCCACCCCTTGCTTAGTCATCACTTACTGTGGACACACCTGTCTCCTTGCACTTCCTCAAATTAGTCAGGTATACTGTCATCTCAGGGCTATTGTACTGACAGAGTCCGCGTCCTGGAAAGTTCTTCCCTTTGCAATCACCACCCGAGCCCTCAGATTAGCTTGCCTTGCTCCTTTACCACTGTTGGGTCTTGCTCAAATGCATTATTCAGTGAAGGCATATGGGACTACCCTGTGTAAAATTGTACCTCACTATTTCACCATTGCCCTGTCTTACTTATTTGGTTTATGTTTTTCCTTAGAAGAAATCACCATTTAATATTTTTTCTATTAAAATTCTTACTAGTTTGTTGTACGTTTTCTCCCATTACAATATAAGCCCATAAAGGCAGGGGTTTTTCTCGTTGACCATTGCTATGTCCTGTAGCAGTAAGGCAACTACCTGGCACATAGTAGGCACTTAAAAATACTTATTAAGTAAAATAATTTAAAAGTTGGGGGCACCTAGGTGGCTCAGTTGGTGAAACATCTGACTCTTGATTTGGGATAAGGTCATTATCTCATCATTCGTGAGCTTGAACCCCACGTAGGGCTCTGTGCTGACAACACAGAGTCTGCCTGGAATTCTCCCTCTCTCCTTCTCTCCTTCTCTCTCTGCCTCTCCCCCACATGTGCACATGCATGCACGCTCTCTCTCAAAATAAATACTTTTTTTTTAAGTTTGGACCATTATTATTATTTACTTGTCTGATCATTTCTTCTACCTCATCCTTCTTTAGTAACCATTGGTGGTATTGAACTCGAGACATAACTCAGCTCAGCCATCCCTTCCTCAAGGAGTTCTCCCTGAATTCTCCATATCAGTTCCTCCTGTTTTGCCTTCTTACAACATTGATCTCTGTTGTGCGGTTATTTGGTTTAAGTCTGTCTCTTCTACTAGGTAGAGATTTCATCAGTTAGTATACTTAGTACAGTGCTTGGCACATAAAAAACACCCAACAACTAAAGGAATGAATGAATGGTCAGAATAAACTCTTGATTTATTTTGCCTATTGTAAAACTAATTTTACATGTTACTTAACCCCTCTGCTTGTGCTGTGTTTAGTGTTTGTTCATGATGAACAAGCTTTGGCATTTTTAATGTGTCATTTCCTTGTTGACACTGAACTATGTAACTTAAGTTAAGCTGTGTTCTGGTAGGTATTCACAAATATTTTTCATTGATTTGTATTCAGAGTAAAATACGAAAGAGCAATAGGTTGCCAGTTAGCAAAAATTCATTTACTATTGTTCAGATCTGCAAAAGCATTCAATTAATCTTATGCATGATTATTTCACAATAAGAAGAATCCTGGAAATTAGTCTAGTAATAAAAAGAACAAAGTGAAGATAGATGCACTCTTCTTTATTGGGATGGAGAGATTACGGCAACCTGTAATGTGGGCAAGAGGAAGGAATGGTCATTTATTGGGAGCCTGTCACATACCACATTCCATTCAAGATACTTTGTTTTTATGATCCCATTTGGTCCAAACCACGAGCGTGGCGGAGATGAAATAGTACCAGCAAGTGTGGACATGTATGTATGTGTGCTTTTATGTAACCATATTTGTAGGTATTTGAAATTAACAGGCTCTAGTCCTGTCTCTGCTTCATATTAGCTGCTCAAGCTTGAGCAGGTCACGTCAGGCCACTGAGCTCTGGTTTCTGCATTTGTAAAGTGTAGATCATAAGGCCTATCTCACAGAGCTGGTATTAAGATCAAATAAAATAATGGATATGAGCTTTGAAATATTGAAAGCGAGTGTGTGTGTGTGTGTCTGTGTGTGTGTCTGTGTGGTGTTACAAGGATCAAAGCAATAATCTCTCCCTTTGGATATCAAAATATATGTTCATTTTCCTGGGTGAAGGCTAGATGTGGGTAAAGTCATATTGTATCAGGTTATTAACCATTCACTTATTGCAATTCAATCTAATAAATATATTAAACACCTGTGATGTGCCAGACTCCATAAAG